GCCCGATGCGGGGCTCGATCCCAGGACCCTGGGATCATGACCTGAGCCGAAGGCAGATGCTTAACGACTGAGCCACCCAGGTGCCCCGAGTTTGAAGTTTTTTAATGGATCATTTTTATTACTTACAGCCTGTTCCACTAATTTTCCTGAGGCTAATTCTTCTTGGAGTTTCTGGGCTTTCAGTGTTCGTTTTGCCTAACAAAAAAGGAAACATTTGAAATTTACTTTACAACATTCAAATGAACATTTGATTTTTATATACTTAAAATCAACATATTTATTGTTTTCAGAAAGGTCACTAAACAAGGTCCTCTCTCTGAGATTTCTCATAGCTCTAGATCTATGATTTCTAAATAACAGGAGTTATCAACTCCTGTTTCAACTACGCATTAATGTAAACTGAGTCAAACAGTGCCAGTGATGAAACTGCAGAGAACAAGCCCTGTCCAAAAGTGGCAGCTGTCACCTGACCCCAGATGACTGATGCCTGCCCGGCAGGCCCAAAATTATCATATATTTCTTTGTTCAAGAACAGATGAAATTTACATTATGTGAAATCCCATGATTTTTAAATGTAAACTCTACTTAAGAAAAAAAAAAGGGCAGCGTGACTGTGGACTTTAAGGAATGGGGGTGAGTAGGTAAAATCGTAACCAAAAAAACTGAAGATGAATGAAAATAAAATTCATTTTTCTGAAATGCATCATTCTAGTCTCCTTTCACTTCTCTCAAATGCTACATGAGACAACTGTAAAATAGGCCCAGACGAGATGCAGTGTGTGGGGCCGGGAAAGAGTTTATAACCTTAAAAAGCCAAAAAATCCTTCTCATGCTTCCAATTTCTCATGCAACCTCAGGAAGTAAAAAACAATACAAGTATCAAATAAGAAGAAACCACTGCCAATACGGTTAGCACGCTTTATTTTCACTATTCCATCAGACTTTCTACTACTATAATAAAAACGCCACCATCTTTATATTGCTCGAAGACTTGAAAAACAGAGTTGCTTAATCAATGACAGAGCAAAACATACATTCTTTAAAGAGTGTGGGAAAGCAGGGAACTTTGCTCACCAGATCAACTTTGGCATATTCTTCCACAATTTTCATGTGTTCCTCTGGATTGTAGCCATTCCACCGATCCCTCTTCCCATCATAGTCAAACATCAGCTGAGGCTGGACATGTTCATCTGGAGCTATATTAGTACCTGTAAATTTTGCTCCAACTCGCCTAGGTCTCTGGGAAATAGAATAAAATCAAACCTTTTCCCAAGTTCCTGTAGCCTAGAGGAAAGTTTCAGATGACCTTTACAAAGCAAGCATGAACATATCATGGGAGTTTATGGGCTGTTCAATTATTAGTTACTCTCCCAGCAGAAAATTTTGATGGTGTTAAACTAATTTCACTCAAATTAATTTTTATTTAACTTGTACCAAAATTTAGGTAATTTTAGAAAAACAGAATTAAGCTCTTTGACAGGAAAAAAGAAAGAGGCTTTCTGACAAGTTTCTAAAATTCTCAAAAGTGAACTTACCTCAAAGCAGTCTTTCTTTTTGTGTGTCATGGCCCCACAATTTTCACATGCTCCCTTGCGGTACTTAGTAGTTATGGAATTCTATAAATGGATATAAAGACAAACAAAATGTTTTACTTCTGAGTAAGTTACAAATAATTTTGGCTCTCATTACTATATTGTCTAGTGAAGCGACTTACTCATTAAGAGAAAAACTACTTAGTCTCCATACTTTTATAAATGAGAAAGTTTAAGTACTTTATTTTATAGTAATAGTTCTTTTTTTTTTTAAGGATTTTATTTATTTATTTGACAGAACAAGAGAGCAGGAGAGCGCTAGCAGGGGGAGCAACAGAGGGAGAGGGAGAAGCAGGCCCCCCGCCGAGCAGGGAGGCTGATGTGGGGCTCGATCCCAGGACCCTGGGATCATGACCTGAGCCGAAGGCAGTCGCTTAACCAACTGAGCCACCCAGGCGCCCCGAGAAAGTTTAAGTCCTGTAGCAACATAAAACTTATAAAACACAGAAACTGAAGTAGTATGTATTGTGAATTTTAATCCCAGGTAAAAGGTTATATAATCTGATATAACTTGATGAAAAATTCTTAAAATAAAATCTCCATTTTTACAAGGAGATATATAAAAGTTGTCCACATACCTCTTTTACACCCCTCTTGTACCATTCTCCAGATGAGCTGTACTGCTTTTGTTTCTCTGGTTGTGGTCTCTGGTGCTTTAAAGTAGGTCTTTTTGATGGATCAATATACCATGGCACTGAAGAAATATACTGAGGTATATGAGGGTTGATGTCTCTGTAATTTAAAAAAATATATATATATTTTAAGAATAAAGTTTGAAAATGATTGGTATTATAATCACAAAGGTAGCCTATACAGACTGTAAGAACAGAGATAGTGCAGTGGGAGGGTGGAGAGAGAATATGCTCGATATCTCTATAATACAGTAAAAACAAACAAACAAAAACACACACCTAAAAATAAGGAAAGTAATTTATTTTAGAGAGAAAAAATTTCCAATATAGCAACTAAGAATAATGATAGAACTGAAGTCGGGAGAGAGAGAAGGAAGATAGGGATGTATTCTAGTAGAAAAATCTTAAAAGAGCAAGAAGCTAGCTAATGATGCCTAGAGTTGATTAAAATAATGATGTGGATACATTATTTAGAGATGTGGAGGTATCACCCGGAAAAACTCAAAATAGAAAGATTTGAAAGTAGTCACTTTTGCGGAGTGGGACAGGAAGTGCGAAGAGTTGAAAGCGATGACTGCTGTTCATTAGAAGCCCTTTGATACTTTATTATTAAATCTTAATATATGAATTTGATAAAATAATAAAAACAGAAAGAATATAAATGGTAAAAAGTTTCCTGTCAAAGCAAAAGATGAGAAATTGCTAAACTAAGTAGACATAAATTTGAATTTTGAATGAACAGATCATGCAGACAATGAATGTACTTACTTTCCTTCTTCATCAACTTCTGCTGGAGCATTACCCAGTTTTCGCTGTTCTTCTAGCTCCTTCTTCTTTCTCCAGTCCTCTCTGGTCATCTTCTTTGGTTCCTCCAGACTCATTTCTTTGGACCCCGACAGGGGGGCCGCATTAACTGCATCCACAGCTGCAGCTGACATGGTTATCTGGACCCCTCTGTGAAAAAAAAAAAAAAAATATATATATATATAAGTATAAACCAGGCCTTCATCAGTGAAACTATCAAAAGTACACCCTGCTTGACACAGGACCAGAGCATGGGGACCCAGCTAGATGGGAAGGCAGGCGCAGGGGACCTTCCTAAAGGAAAGGATCAGAAACATTCACAAAGGAAACGAACCATGTTCACTGAGAAACAACTGGCAGATTTAGAATTCTTATTCAGCAAGAACCCATACCCCGCTCCCAGCCTTCAGAAAGAAATGCCCTCGAAACTGGAGATACATCCCACCGTACTGCAGGTTTGGTTCAAGAACCACAGAGCAAAAGTCAAGAAAGCCAAACAACAGCAGTTAGCTGGGGTGGAAGTCAAGACCAGCTCTTCCAAGAGACACACGGATGCCGCTCCAGGAGCCCCCGATGGTGCCCACCCTGCTTCCCTAGTTTATACAGACCACCCCACACCTTCCTTCCAACTCAGCGTATGCTCCAATTTTAAGGCTCTCCCAGACCATTCTTTTGGCCACAAAATAGTCCATTTCGGCTGCTGCCGAGATCCTAACATCTACTCCCTATGTCCCATTACGGAATCCCAAATTCTTTCCACAAGCTTCACTGCTAATTCTTTGGGTTCTTCATCTCCACCAAGAACTTAGTGAGCAAAGCCAGACACAAAAGGTCACCTACTGTAACGATTCGCAATGATTCCAGACGAGAGACAGAGTTGGGATCTACGCAACATGGAGGCATTTCAGAAACGGGCTTCACGAAAACAAAAGAAGACCCACAAGTGCCTGTGGGGTGGAATTGAGTGGCAAGAGTCGCTCAACAAACTATTGCGATGGGCATGTTTCATGTTGTAATTCGGATGGCAGGAACCTGCATGTATAAATTCATCCAAAGACACAGAACTGTAATATTGTATAACATACACCACAAAAAAACAATCACGTGACAGGACGAAGCATCAGCTAATGCCCGGTGGTAACCATTTTGCAATATATAAATGTATCAAATCAACACATCATACACCTTACACTTGTATCTCAGCCAAGTTGGAGACAATTTTTAAATTATATCTCAATAAATACATACAATGAGACTACTAAAAAAAAAAAAAAGTACACCCTAATAACACATACTGCAGTCTCATTTATACATAATATTTCAAATGTTCTTATAGTATCTGTGAAGGAAGGGTCTCTTTCCCCTCTACAAAAAGTCTCTATATACTGTTTGCAGTTCCTCCCTCAACTCTAATTTACAGATGGAGAGAAACATACACACGTGTACTTAAAATTTCATAAGACTCTTTCTCTCATTAATACTCATGAATTTCTCTATGTGTCTCAAACTTTTCTAGCACATTAACCCTACATGAGTAAACAGTGTCCTATTTTCCTTAAAGATGAAATGGCTTAAGAGTTATCTATACCCATTGCCTTTATTTTCCCATCTTCTACTTCCTTCCTCAGTCACTCTAATTTAGCTTCTACCTCCTATCTCTCTGAAGAGTTACCACTAAGTTATCAATGATTGATGTGCTAAATCCACTAGGTATTTTTCAGTTCTTTTCCTTCCCTTTTTAAAAAATATTTTATTTAAAATTTATTTTAAAGATTTTATTTATTTATTTGTGTGTGGGGGGGGGCGGGGAGAATGAGCAGGGAGAGGGGCAGAGGGAAAAGCAGACTCCCCGCTGAGCAGGGAGCCCGACATGGGGCTCTATCCCAGGACCCTGGGATCATGACCCAAGCCAAAGGCAGACACTTAACTCACTGAGCCACCCCAGGTGACCCAAGATTTATTTATTTTAGAGGGAAAGAGAGCACGCGCACAGGCGAGGGGTGGGGGCAGAGGGAGAGGGAGGGAGAAAAGTGGACTCCCTGCTGAGGGGGAACCTGGACAGACATGAGGCTCAATCCCAGGACCCTAAGAGCATGACAGCTGAATGGACGCTCAACCAACTGAGCCACCCAGGCGGCCCTTCTTGAAACATTCTTATCTCTTGGCTTAAGTGACACTATTATCTCTTGGTTTTTCTTGAATCTCTCCTGCTGCTCCTGCCTTCATCTATTTCTGTCTAGTTATTTAATTTTGGATTCCACAAGGCTCAGTCCTAGAGTCTCTTTCATCACTCTGGACTCCATCAGTAGACAAGCTCATCTATTTCTAAGGCTTAAATAGCCACAATATAACACTGTTAGCTCTCCAACTTATTTCTCCTCTCCAGATATTTTATCTGAGCTTCAGATACATATATTCCAACTGCTTACTTCACAGCATCTCCATTTAGAGGGTCTCAGAGACACCTAAACTCAACAAAGCTTAATTCAAACTCATGATCTTCTCCATGGAATGTCGTCTCCATTCACTGTTTCCTCTCTTAATGAAAAATACCACTCATACCTTTACATTTGTGTTCCAGCTAAGCTCCATAAATATTTAATCAGTAAGTATTGTTTTTTTCACCTTCTGAATAGCATTCAAATTTATCTACTTCTCTCTATTTTCAATGCTACCATTTTAATATGTTATTACTTTTCCTTCCTTATTGCTCTCCTGTGCTTCTTTCCAATCAGTTCTCCACACTGCAAGTGTTATTTTTTTTAGAACACAAGTCTGATCATGTCACATTCCACTACACAAGCGTAAAATCCTTCAATGCGAGGCTGTCCAAGATAAATATGTCAGCCTCATACATCACTTTAAGCGTTCCAGTTAATATTAAGATAGTAAAAAGAAGCTGGTAAAATTACTTTTACAACATCTTAATTTAATCCAATATATCCAACATATTATTTTAACATGCAAGCAACATAAGAAAAAATAAAGTCTTTAAAATCTGATACAGATTTTACACGTATTCAGACTAGCCATATTTCAAGTGCTCAGGAGCCACAAGTGGCTAATAGCTGGGAAGTGAAGCTCCAATAACATCTGATAATTCTTACTCTAAAAACCGTTAAAGACACACTTCTGGTCTGGTCCGACCTTAAAAAAAAAAAAAAGTACCGAGAACACACAACAGCTTAAGCCTCAGTTACAGAGTCTGAGGCCTAGGACGGCGGCTTTCTTCTCGGTCCCCAATCCCCGTTTCTTCCTCGACCTGGAATTCATCATTGCTGTAACGATGTATCTAAGAAGTATCACTATCCACTCAGGTCATGATCCCAGGGTTCTGGGATCCAGTACCCCGCACCACTCCCCCACCCCCCCCAACCATCGGCCTCCTTGCTCAGCATGGACCCTGCTTCTCCCTCTTTGGGCCACTCACCCTGCTTGTGCGTGCAGACGCGCTCTCTCTGACAAATAAATAAAATCTTAAGTAGGCACTCCGGCCTATTTTCCGGAGCTTTCCAGCTTCACCTCCTCCCGATCCCCAAATTCCCACATTTCCTTACCCTGCCCAACACCACCCAACAGAAACGAAGTCAATCCGTCAATGTTTACTTCCTGGCTTTCCGCCCTCTCCCGGCAGCCACTGCGGTAGTTTCCGGGCGAGCTACACATGCGCACTAACATCTTAGGGGGTGGCCTCAGTGGCCCACGCGATGTTGTTATCGCGAGATGTCTTTACCTCGGGAAAGCGTAAAGGGTTAGTTTGAGCTGCTCTAGAGGTTTGAAATGTTGTTTCTTGCAGAATCTTAGGACGTTAAAAAAAAAAAAAGTACCGAGAACACACAACAGCTTAAGCCTTTCTACAGAACTATGTAATGAATGGGGAAGTTCGTGACATATTAATTAAAAAAAAAAGGCAGTTAAAATTAGCATTAGTAGTCATACTGCGTAACACTTTGGGGGCGTGGTGAGCAAAAAGAGTCTTTAGTTCCTCGAAATTACATCATACAGAGTGAAAAAGACACTAAAATGATTATTCAAATAATTTACAGTTGTAAAAAGTCTCTGTGAAAGGAATACCAGATGCTATGAGAACATAAGGCGCTATTCGGTAATTGTGATATTCTGCACCGAAGTGATCTTGTGTTTTATCATTAGAAAAAAATACTATAAAACAATTTATATTTTGGGAAAACAATAGTATCTATGACATCCCAACCCTCCTTTTTTTTTTCTTTTTTAAGATTTATTTATTTATTTATTTGAGAGAGACGGAGAATGTGAAGCAGACTCCCTGCTGAGCAGAGAGCCTGACATGGGGCTGGATCCCAGGACCCTGAGATCATGACCTGAGCGGAAGGCAGACGCTTAACCGACTGAGACCAACACTGACCTGTATCATCCAATCCCTACTCCCCACAGGTCACTAGATACATTCTAACTTGTAGGTGAGTTGAGAGAGAGCAGTTGAGCCTACATTATTTCACAAAAGATTTAGCACTACACCTGGCATAGATGCAGTTCTCAATATAGGTCAGTTCATTGGCCCTTCTTCCCTGGCATTTCGGAACCAAAATTGGTTAAAGGATTAATTCATTCAATAAATATTGATTGCATATTGATTAAGTGCTAGACACTGGGCTAGGCATCAAGAAGAAAAGATCCTAACTCAAGAAGGTAAAGAGGACAAAAACCATGCACACCTTTATTGCCCCTTCCCTGTCCTTTTCCTTTTATTCCCACTCCTCTCTTTACTTTCTCCCTGTATCTCCCTCTAAATATTTCAACTCTATATTGCATCATCAGCACACAAAAGTGTTCACTTTGAAACCATAGCTGTACAGCACCTACAGCTTCAAAGTGGGGATTCTCTATCTCCTAAGGTCTTTGGGTGCAAGATTTGTATCTCCCCTGGTTAAGTCTTCCCCTTACAACAGGAAGCACTGTGTCTCCCAAGGTCAACTGTATGCTTTAACCACCCCCTCTTTGAATGATTGTTGTTTTGTCACCAGTGATGCCCCAGACCCGCTTTACTACTCCCTACTCTTACTAGATTACCCAATTAGTAAACACCCTCAATTTATCACAGCACCTAGATCCTAATCAATCCCGGTTTATTCTAATCCTGATTTACAAACAGCAACCCATCTAGAACTGACTCCTTGCTTCCCTATACTCTCCTCTGAATCCTCCAGGGGGAACCCAAACCTTACAAAAGGTTCTTCCTTCTCTTCTAGGACACTGTATGATTCCTCTGGGAGATGTGTTCCCTGGCTGGTGCCTGGGGGTTTTAAAACAGGCCTCACCACTTCCAAACAGATTTTAGGAATTGTTGAAAGAGATAAAAACAAAGAGTGGGTGATTCAGAGACTATTCACTTTCAGGCTATTCTCTGACTCTTTCTATTCCCTCACCTTTTGCCCTGTAAAATCAAAATTAGTATTTACAGTCCTAAACTCTAGGCACTGCAAATCTTTAATAAGAAAAAACTTAGATTATATTATGAGAGGCTTTTATTGAGGCAAGGATGTAAGCTATTTTCACTTTTACATTTTTTTTAGATTTTATTTATTTATTTGAGAGAGAGCATGATGGGGGAGAGGGGAGGAGCAGACTCCCCACTGAGCAGGGAGCCTGACATGGGGCTCAATTCCAGGACTCCAGAAGCCGAAGGCAGACGCTTAATTGACTGAGCCACCCAGGCGCCCCTCACTTTTACTTTCAAAAGCAATACATGATGGGGCGCCTGGGCGGCTCCCTCGGCTAAATGACAGTCTTGATTTCAACTCAGGTCATGCTCTTGGGGTTCTAGGATAGAGCCCTGCAATAGGCTCTGTGCTAAGTGGGGAGTCTGCTTGGGGATTTTCTCCCCGTCCCTCTGCCCGTCCCCCTGCTCACCCTCTCTCTGTCTCTCTATAAATAAATAAATACATAAATGTGATACATGATATCTTGAAAAATTTTTAAAAATTACAACAGCACATAGAAGAAAAAAACACAAGAAATTCTACCAAAATTACTGCTTATTTTCCAGTATTTTGTCTTACTTCATACATGTACGTTTTTTTAAAGATTTTATTTATTTTTGAGATAGAGAAAGAG